CCATCTTGCGCTGCAGATTCTGGGCCGTTCGGTTTAAGTGGGGTGTTGTCTACTTTCTTCTTAGCATTCGGAGGGATACATTTTTTTTGCGTTTTGGTCACTTACTTCCAGAAAGGAAACAACAAAACAGCTGGGAGAGTGGAAATAAGGATGAGATGCCTCCAGTCTCGTACAAAATAGGCGATACCAACAAACAGTGGCTGAAAGCCATTGAAGAATAGAAACTCCAAATTTCCAGCCAGGGTTCTTTTAGTAGGTCCAATCAGCTCCATGACGTAAATATACTGTGTAAGCATCACTCCTGTCAAACTGAAACCAACTACGAATCGAAGAAATGTGAACAGAGGGACGGAATCGACCAACGCCGAGGTAACTCCTGTTAAAATCTGAAAAATTTTGGAGACAAAAAATAAGGCTTGGGCGGGGATCTTCCTCAAAGAGCTCGAGGATAAGTAAAAAATTGAAAGATAACTGAGAACTACATCATACAATGACAAAACTCCAGTCAAGGCTTTTTTTCTCTATGTGGCTAAGAAACCTAATCGTTAGAGTTGTCAATTATCATATTTTAGCTCTGAAACAGCCCCTGTAAAAATTTTCATCTGGCCATCGCCTCACACAGCCAGCACCTTATCTCAATTAAGTTCGAAGCTGTGTCCTAATTGTGAAATTAAAAAAATTAGGTTCTCCAATGACTAGTCCCTGAAGGTGTTATGTTATGTTATGTTATGTTTAGCATATTATAATATGAAACAACCAGGTAATTATGTGCTTACCATTACAGCGTTGCACGCAAATATACACTTCTTTCGACCCCAGGCGTCTGAAATTATCCCAGTCACAAAAGAACCAACCAGCATCCCAGCAAAGAAACAGGACTGGATAGTAGCACCCAGGAATGCTCGGTCACAAATCAAATTCCACTGAAATGAAAAGAATTTGATTTGCTAACTGAACAGGAAACAATTACACAGTCATTACTTATCTCCTTGAGAGAGGAGAGAGTGGAAGATTTTGGGAGTCGCATGGTTTTCATTGGGAGTGACTTGGGGAGTAGGGATGAATCGTTTCAACATAGAGCGGGATTGGGGACTAATCTTGTACTTAGTCTACCATGTAACTGAACTGTACAACCGCTTGGCCGTGAAGGTCCGGTAGGAGATTAAAGGTGGTATCATGGAAAATCGACTGCCAATTTAGTGCGAATGAAGGGCGGGATCATTAAGAATATTATAAATCTTATGGGGAGACCAGATAAATTTTATCGCGACAAATCCCTCATCCCCTAAGGTCATAAATAACGGTCGGTCCTAAAGTTAATAACTGATCAAAAATAATTACCTCAGATGTAGTGCTTTTGAAAATTCCCGTGAACTCGTAGGAGTCGCATTCGTCACAGCATTTCTTCACGCCCCCACAGGTGACATTTGGCGTGACACATTCAAACTTGGGCGTACCATTAGCAAACACGAGCAAGGTGAAATGAGTTGTGACGGGAAAGATCAACACAAAGCCCGTAAAGAAAGTCACTAGTAATTGGTATCTTCCCAAGGAGGACACATGTTCAAAGACATCGTCAAACTCTGCGAAATCGCGTTTTTCGTCTTTAGACGTGAGATTTGCATTCTCCTCCATCTTAACTACAATCAGATAGGAAGAAAGGAAATTGAGGTGGCGCACATACAGAGGCGATGATGTGAGATGATTCGATTTTTCAGTCCCTGTCTTCCCTCTTTTTTCCCTCCCCTCCCCTCTCTAGATTGGGTCGGTCATTGTTTTCATTTTCGTAGAGCTGGACGGCACTAATAAAAATGTTTAAGAGAAGGAAACACTGATCTTTATGATCTGCCTTTTGCTGCCGTTGTTTGGTCTCGTCTCGCAATGCGCTCTCGAGTTCTCCCACACTCACCTTTCTCTGGGGTCACGTGAAGAGGCCAAAAACAACTGCGAAGCAGACTTGTCGCTTTGTCTCAAGCTAAGACCGGATACCTGAAAAAAACAAGACGATCCAAGATGGTAAGTCGGGCTACAGGTAGACGTGCTGTTATGAGAGTTGACCATTCGCGGTGCGCAGAGGTTCTAAAAGAAATACTAAGAGGTACCAAGGTCCTGGTTTGTGGGCGTAGCATAAAATTTTTTTTTCATCCCTGAAAGACACCAATTCTACAACAACGCACTGTCACATATTTTTGGTGCAATACCCTAAAAGGTATCACAGGAGCTGCTGCTGTGGACCTTTTGAGGCTAAACAGCCTAAGGGGTACCAAGCTCACCTTTTTAACCCCTAAAAGGTACAACGAGCACCCCAGTCCTTTTTTTTAAGGAGTTCCCCTTCCCAAGAGTAATAAGTACATGCCAATTGATGCGTGTGTTAAAAAAGATATGTTATGAAATTTAAATCATAATGGTCTGAAAGCAAGGAAGTATATTTCATCGTGAAAACATTGTAAACACAGCATATCAGTTAGGACCTTCCCTGATTTTCTCTTTGAATTAATTAATGCAGATATCAGTAGTTCGGATTGTCTCACTCTTGTGCTGTTGTATAACTTTGAATTTGATTTTGTTTCTAAAATATATCTGTTGCAGTCTTTTCATTTTTGGAGCGGGTTCCAAATTATCATAACTATAAATTCGTCTGTGCTTTTGCATGTGTCTGATTTGGTGCAGGTCCATGTTAGATGTGCAAGACAAAAATTTCATTTCATAGTGAATAATACCTGTTTTAAGTTTCTTTGTAACAATGTTAGAAATAGCTTGTACTAATGATGGTATACCACTTATTTTTATTTGTTGTATTGCAGGTTCACAAGTATCTTCATAGGTCAAGGAGAACACGTACTTTGCTCTCACTGTTTGTTGAAAAATACAAGTAATACTTAACAGTAACTTGCAAGCCACAATCAAAACCCTGTATTTCCCCTGTAGATTCGATTTTACGAATCCTTACCAAAATTGTCAGTTAAATTTATTAACGTGATGATTTATTTGAAAATTTTGATGTGTTTTTTAAAATGTAGTTATCAAGATTTAAAATTCAGTATCTGTAACCACACGCCCCGTGTAAATAGCAGCTTAGTTAACGAGGCAAGTAGGCGGTGAGCATCAGGATCGTAAAACAAAAATTGAGTCCTTTGCATTCTGTCGCGGTCGAGTGAACGTCTTTGGTGGCAGCAAGAAAGCGTGAATCAGTACGTGGAATGTAATGGAAATTTACTGTCTGTTGCCGTTACCACGAAAGAATTATTACGATCCTACACAACTTGTCATTCCTCCGTGACGAATTCTTTTTTGGGAAGGCAACTGATGAGATTCAGAAAGAATCCTCGCTAACTACGAATTAGCAAACGATGCATGAAGAGTGAGTTCGGGAGTATATGCAGAAGTAGGCATAGATCATTTCACGCAAGTTTTAAAAAAGATTAATTCACAAGCAACGTTTTCTGAAAAAAATCAAGGGGCAAGATTTCCACATGACCCCATACATTTATTTGCATAGAGCGTTGCAAGAAACCTTTATATTTAGTCTTTATGACATGGAATGCATAATTATTGTATGGGGTTATATGGAAATCTTTCCAATCGAGGTTTCGCACACTAATGCGCGCTTTGACCGTCATTCTCACGGCCCGATATATTGACCGCAGTTATTAATTTAAAGGCCAACACTTGCATAATTACGATTAATCTCTCTTTTGCGGTAGTTCTTTAGGGAGTCAGGCACTGTTGGTTGATTATGTGTGGCTTCTACGTTCCTGGCAGCAGTAGAAAATTCTACTCGATTCTAAAAGCTGACAAATTTTATATGCATAATTAGTGAACGGTTTTCTTTTGAAATCTATATCTGAAGTTAGTGTTTGATCGTTTGTCTTGCTTTAGTATAGAGTCTTTGAAAAGCTAACCCTGAGCATCTGGAAATACTACTAGTATTCACTACAGTAATTCGTTTTTTTATTCGCTATGTCTATTGTAAAATATATTTTCTTTACGGAGTCCCAAGGTAAACTTGGACGTCTATTTACTGAGTTGTTATAATTGATTTTGCCTTTAATCTTGCAGACAATTTGTACTTATGCGGCTGCATATATTGCTTATTTTTTGCTAGACTCACAAGTTTAAAGAGGTTTTTAGATGTCACAGGGGGCTGCAAATAAAGAGTTCATTGCACAAATTGATCATCTGCATTGCCGACTTCTAAACGACGCTAGAATGCAGCCAAGCAAAACTTGTCCTTTGAAATTTAGAGCCGCTGAGAGCTGAGAGCTACATCATCTCCCTACAATTCCTTGTATAAAATTGATGAACTTGAAACTTACCTCCTCTGTGAATATAGACAACAAGGGACGGATATAAGCAAATTTCTAGAGCAAAGTGTATTTCTTGATAAAGTCGTCCGACCTGAATGTGAACGCCCAATAGCGCAGTGTAATGAATCAGCCAATTAAATTTGTGCACTAGCATAAACATTTGCTTATATTATCATTGCTAAACATGCATGTTGAATCTAAATGAGTCTGAACGCCAACTTTGACGTTCCACGATCCTAAACGTAGTCACGAAGATGGTATTTGACCTGAACCTTTACAGTAAGGTCTCTAACAACTGAATCCTTCACCGTAAAATTTGATTCAACGACGATCTGAGGTGTTAACATCTGACCCGTGATAAATCTCATTATTTTTTCAAGAGTAGTAATTTAGTTCACGCTTTACAGCATCTTCATTTACCTCTTAAGGCCAAAGACAACGTAAGCCAGTTACGCAAGCAAGTTTTTTTCTGAAAAATGTTTACGTATTACCACTCTGCCAGACAAGATGCCTTTATATCATGTTACCCTGCTTGAGAGGGCAACCCAAGCCGATGGGAAAAGAGAGACAACTGAATTTCCCTGTTAAGTACACCAGAAGTATGGCCATAATCATCGACACGAGATCGACGAATATGACGGCTGACCCTAGGGCATTCATTTCATTATTTTTTACTGCTTTTTTTTTCTTATGTTTCCATGTCTTGATCGTTTTACCTGGTCGTTTCGTTTTAGTGACTTCAGTAGTTTCGCTTGTACTTATGTTTTGCCTTTTCGGGTTTTAGTAGACGCCCTGACAAAGGACTAAAGCTCGACACGTCAAAGAAAGTCTTAGTTGAAAAACTCAGGCCTAGTTCAGACGACGTGTGCATGCTCCTGCCGTGTCGAACCCATGCAGCTTCCAAAGGTCGGATCATCGGATCATTATACTATCTAAGCTAAACCAGTATCTGCCCCCCTTTCCCTCCCCCCCTCCCCCACTACCCACACAACAAAGAAATCTGTGGTGCGTGGTATGCGAGATAGTGCGTGGCGCGCTCTTGGACGATGGATAACTCAATGGATAACTCAAAAGGACTGGACCCCAATTCTCAATGCCTCCTCATGTGAGAAAAAGTTCCAGCTGCTCATGTCTGAGCTTGATGGCGCCATTAATAATTTTCTTCCGTAGAAGACCATTAAGGTACATCCTACTGACCGCCCTTGGATAACTAGCAAGATCAAAATGTGGATCACTAAACGCCAATCTGCATTTTCTTGATACGGAAAGGACTCAAATGGCTATCGACATTGGAGAAACAAAGTCCAAGGCGCAATAAAAGCAGCAAAACATCACTACTATCAAAAAAAGATTGCTGAGGTCCAACATGTGAACCCTGCAAAATGGTGGAGGGAAATAAAAAAGCTAGAAGGCCAGGATGCTAAGCAGGAATGGTACCATCAGTTTCTTGATAAAGACACAAACATCAAGCTGTTAGCAATTAAATAAGATCAATAGCTATTTTATTGGGTTGACCGACCATTTCTGACCTCTGTGCCAAGGAGCGCCCACGCCATTTGTTCCTGATGAATTATTAATTTCAGAGTGGGAGGCATACAAGTCTTTGTCATCACTTCAGACGTCGAAAGCAGTCGGTCCTGACAACATACCTAACCGGCTCCTGAAAGATTTTGCCTTCGAGTCAGCTCCCCATGTCTGTGACATTTACAACCAGTCTCTAAGGGAAGGGGTACGTACCAGCTCTTCTGAAATCGTGTATTGCGACACCTATCCCTAAAGTGTCTCCACCTGGACTTAGTGTGCGAGATTTAAGATCCATATCTCTTACCTGTACTATGGCAAAGGTTATGGAAGGCTTTACTTGTTCCAGACTTTTATCCCAATTGGAAGGCAAGATCGACCCTTGTCAGTTCTCTCGTCAGAAGGGCACTCTACAACAGATACTCTTAGATATACGCTTCAAGCGATCTACGAAGCAGTTGATAGCGGTGAGGCGTCGGCTCGGATATTTTTCGCTTATTTTTCTAAAGGGTTTGATTTGATCGATTACTCAATATTGATGCAGGAACTCGCAGACCTTGGAGTTCACCCAATCCTTTTATCTTGCATTGCAGCTTTTTTTTTGCCTATGGGAGGCAAGCAGTTAAAATTGGGGGATCTCTATCAAATTGGTTAAAACTAAAAGGAGGAGCCCTCCAAGGAACTAAGTTGGGTGTGATTCATTTTACGGCGATGACAGACTTCTGTCCGACTGGCAGCTGCGCATTAAATACGTTGATGATACCAGTGCTCTCGAAATAATTCCAAGGAATTCCCCTAGCTTATTCAATGTTGTAGCCTCAGACATTCATAATTTTGCCATTGCTCATAATATGAGTCTTAACCCAACAAAGTGTAAAGAAATGCATATTAATTTTCTACGCAACTCTAACTGTCTCATTAACCCCATATTAATTGGCGGCAACGCCATCCAGTGTGTCAATACCTATAAGATCTTAGGAGTTATTGTAGACAGTGACCTGAACTGGAACTGTCATGTTGATTACATTAATAAGAAAGCTTGTAAGAGGTTATACTCCCTTAGAGTACTGCGCAGAGCCGGGGTGTGTCAATCTAACATCCTGAAGATATACCTTAGCACAGTTCGGCCAGTTTTAGAGTATGCTGTACCTGTCTGGCAGGATTTTCCTGCCTATCTGTCCGAATCCATAGAGCGAGTCCAAAAGAGGGCGCTTAATATGATTTACCCCGAGGCTCAGTCATATGCTTATGCCTTACAGTTAGGTAAATTAGATAGGCTAGATGACAGAAGATCTAGAGTGGACCTGTGCTATAAATACATGGCAAAAATGAAATCCCCCAGGCACCCGCTGCACCATCTGCTCCCCAGTCCACTCCTGCACCCATCTGCTCCCCAGCCCACTCCTGCACGCACCTAATTACAACTTAAGGCAGAAAACACACAAGTACTATGTCTTCCGAAACATTCAGATATGTAGGACAAAGAGAACGGAGGACTTTTTTACATTTAAATATTTTAAATGATTCGATTGTTATTATCATTGTTATAGTCGTAAATTTTTTAGTTTTTAGATAATAGTTTCCCTTAAGATTGTAAAATACACTCGATAATTCAGGTCCTTTACTACCAGAGAGTTTAATAAACTAGTCATTCTAGTCATTCAATCTAGAAATTAAATGGACAAAAGAACGGCAAACGTACGGAGTCTGAATTAAACTTTTGAATTAAGTTCGACAAATGTCTGCCGTGCTAAACGACTCTGGCGCGACAACGAATCAAACATCGTGCCTCCGCCGAGCCAAACAAAATTGGTAAATTGTGCTACGTACTGCACGGTGTTTTGACGGGATTTCGTTCTCACGGGAAGTTACGATAAAGGATGGATTGTTAGTTTACTTAAGTAAATCCTGAATTTCGTACGACTCTAGCCCGATGTCTGAATCGGTGTCGTGTTTCTGCCTTGCCGAAGTAGAATCTAATTCCAATTATGTTCGGCACGGCAGAAGCACGACGTCTGAAGTGGGTCTCATTTGATAAAACCAAATTATCATGTAGTATATATCCCTCAACGACGCAGCACTGAGTCTGTAGTTTCATTAGAACTTACCCCCTTTATTCTTCTGAAAAGACGTTCTTTTTGATTCGCGCCCAGTCGTTGCAAGCTCAATTCAAGTAGTTCACAGGCTTCCTTACACAGTAGCCTATGGATGTCACCTCAGTGATAGACACAGGTTAATATTTAATTCGGCGTCTGTTTCGATATGAGTTATACTAAGATTACGATCGATCATACGGCCTCTCGTTATTGCTATGCGTCTGTTTGCGGAGGAGGCGCGAACTTTTCTTTGTCAGATCACTTGTGAAAAACTTGATACCTATTAATGGCAATTTACTGATTCCCCGGCTGATATAGTGTTTCACGTGATACCACCACAACTAGTTACTAACAACGAGGATGTCCGTGAACATGAGTTTGCTTAGCTTCGCAGATTTATCAATTCTATGGATCAAGAAAGGTCAACATCTGTTTACACTCATTCTGCTGTGATGTGATGCCAAAACGAAGTTTATGAATAATAGGTTCTAAATCAAATTTTTCTTATTTACATTTTTGTTCATGATCGACTGCTAAGGGCGTTACCATAGTAACTAACCACTTTGTCCTGCTGGAAACCGGTCAAATCGCCCGGATGTTTAGTCTTGGGCAAGGACTTAGCATTGGAGATTTTGAAACAGAAATCTTTTTTTTTTTTTTTTTCAGTCTCAGAATTGATTGTAGCCTATTCTCTTCGGGTAAAAAAGATCTTGCGTTTTCATTCATCTTCAAGTCTTGAAGAAAAGAAAACAAATAATAAAGTATAATCGTTTCTCTCACGACGTTGTCACGTATAACCCTTTTTTACGAAAAACAAAACTAGTTTACAAAACTCAGTTTACAGGTATTTTAGTAACAGCCTTTATTGCGGGGTATAATAATAATAATAACAATAAAGACTTTCTTTAAAGAGGGTTAACACTTAATAGCCAAAGGCTAATAAACTTGTGACCCTCGGAAAATAAAATTACAAACGATGAACACAAACATAATATAATAAAGTTAAAAACCTAAATCTATGAGAGACGCGAATAGTTGAATTGTTATTCAACCTTAGAGTAGAAAAAAGGTACAGTGGTGAATTTCACTCACTACTATACGTTTATCATTGGTTGCAAACTTCTTCAGTACTTGTTTTCGTGAGTTACTCTATTTTAGCCTATCTATTACTTATCCCTATTCCTTCTTTAACATAATGTAATTGAGTGGTCTCGAACCCAGGCCTTCCACGGCCAAGCGGTTACAGTTACACGGTAGGATCTGAGTGCAAGATTAAAAACTGGGTATCTAAGGGACCACACCTTATTTATCGCCGGAAGGGAGAGGGGCGCGGAGGATTTTTGGGGAGGTACACATGGTTTTCAGGGGGGTACGGAGGGGGATCAGTCCTCACTAACAGAGTATAAAGGGGGGACTATAGAAAATTGTCTGCCAATGAAGGGGAAGGAGGGAGGGAGGGTCGTATCCCGGGGTATAATTAATGATCGGTCTCTAATTAAGTGGCTGATGCTCTCATTTACTTAAAACCAACGGAATTACCGTTCGTCCTATTTTGAGCCTATAGAAAACATTTGATTATGATACTACAAACGAAAGCTGACCTTGCACGTTTAAAACCAGACCTCCCTGCAACAGAGAAGTTGCCACCCCCAAGTATTTTACTCGTTAGCTTCGTTTAAAGATATACTACTTTTACGTCATTCGCCTTCTTGCGCCTGCGCAGCTCAATCTTCTTCCCACAATAAGGTATCCCATAATCGTCTTCGGCCGCTTCAGCTTCTTCCATGGTTTGGTGCATTGGAGAGAAGAGTGTCTCTGGAATCCAATACATTAAAATTCCAGCAAGCGTTGCAACCGCTCCAAAAATTACAACTGGAAACACAATACTGAGGCCTGGAAGCTGGCTCTGGAGACAAAAATTAAATCATGTAAAATTTCTTTATACGTGTTTCGGATCGCACAGCCCTGAAAATTTAAGGGTTGATGTGTTGTTTTGTGCGTCGTGGAAAAAATAAGGGATACATACCATCAAAACAACATAAGGCGCCAAGATTCCACCAATCCGTGCACTTGTAGATCCTGTACCTTGACATGAGTTTCTATTGGCATAAAAAAAAGCTGAGTTGCACGAGTTTTAAAAACCACTTACACAGCGTAGCGAGACAAAACAGATGCTTCATCACACGCAAAAATTCAACCAAAAGTGCCCTTGACGCTTACCTGAGAACGGTTGGAAACAGCTCAGAGGTCATCAAATAAATACTCGTCCAAGTGCAATCAATCAACAGGTATCCAAAGAGGGACAGAACTGTTGTTGCCACGTCAGAATCTAGGAAGATATTCACAGAAAGAGGTTCACCACTAAACCCTCCTTTCTCGGTCATGTCTGGATCTTATTTTTACGTCACCCGGAGACACCCAGCTAGATAGCATTCTCAGTCTTGCCGACCGACCTCTCATCTAATGGTGCACGTGATTATCATTTTCTGAGGAGCATGCCAATAACCTTCTTGGGTCCGGCTCATTTTTGAGAGAAAGATCTGGTGTTGTCAAACATATTGCGAGGACAGTTTTGCATGAATATAAAAGGATAGCGTTTAGGTCAACATAAAAGAGAGTTACTATTTTCAGACTTCGCACAGCAAGAGTGAAAGCCGAGACGAGACGAAAGTTCGCTCATAACGACAAATCATAATAAGGAAAAACAAAGAAAATGTTCAAAAAGTCAGTAAAAGCTCAAAGGAAAGACAAACTAACTGCCTGAAGCGCAGCAAAACGTGACCCGAGATCTTGTTGCGGCAGTCAATTAACTGTGACAGTAACGTGGGATGTCTCGGCCAGTCATAATTAAAGAAAATCAAATGCAATATTAGATATCTTTCTACGCTAAGTTTTTCACAATTTATCATACCTTTGTGGACCAGCAAAACCAAGAGAAAGATGACTCCAACCAGGATCATGATGATGCCATGACAAATGCGGCGACCAAATCTGCAAAAAATACAATCACAATCGCCATCCCTGGCAACAGAACCTAATGTATTCCCGCCAAGACATTTATAACAACAATTTCTTTTTCTTCCATACGATTGTAGCGTCCAGTCATTTCCTCATTTGACAGGCCTACAGCTACCAGGACAACGTTTGACAACCCAAAGGTGATTGAAGTATGTCTCAAAATCTAATGCGCTTTTTTCCTTTCCAACTGATATCAATTTTCGTAAGATTTTCGTGAATGTAAATTTGTTGTTAGATCAAAAAAACACCGTTTATCTGATAAATCAGTGCATTAATTTTGTGAGGGGAACTTTTGAGCACCTTTTGGGGCCATGGGGGTTATTTGCGACATTTAACAATCGTCATAACTGACAAAAATGCGGATTTTTTACACCAAGCAGATGGTACCATGTTTTCTGCTATTGACATTTCTTAAAAAAAACTTTTTTGTATTGTAATCTAAGATAAAATATTTCCTGCAGAGCTGAAATTGGAAGGGATTAAATTTAAAAAAGTCACAATACATGCTACATTTAAAAAACGCCTATGTTTACTTCAAATATAGAATCCACGTGACAGGTATTCGGACAATTGTGATGATCTCCATGACAACGTAATTAACATAAAGATCACCGACCAACTGGGAGACGAAAATGAACATCCCAAAACTGACCAAGGCTACCACAAACCTGCGGGAGCAACAGATATTAACCCTTTCAGGATTGATTCTGACACAGAGGACGCAGGATTTATAGAGGCCAGTCATTATCTTTCGCTTGGGAGGAATGAAAAATTATCGGGGGGTGGGGGGACCATACGATTTTCAGGGGAACAGAGCAGGAATCAGACGTCGCCGAAAACAGAACATTATGACATAACCAAAGTAAAGCGTGCGCAGCGTTTTCCCATGGGTATGCTGCTGACGTGAGCAAATGCAAAGACTAGTTTCAGCACGCTTGTATTTTCTGGTAACGTAAGGAGGGGGGTGAATAGGGGTATGCAAATCCGCCGATCCGCTACGATTTGATAACCAAATCCGTCAATCCGTTAAAAAATATTGATAAATCAAAATCCATTCGCTACTTATCTCGTAAAAAGGTGGAAAACGCACCTTGAGCTGTTGTGTGTTAGCTAGGCAATGGCTTTCCCATCGAGCGAATCGCAATCGGTGGGGTACAGTGTCATGGATAAGGGCTCGAACACAGCAGACGTCCAAGTGCGTTACTATTTCCCTGATGCGTGACATGCAGGGAGTCTCGTCCGTGACAAAAAAGTACACATACCCAGAAAACAACGCATTTCTGACGATCGTTCAGATCCACGATCCGAACTTCCTCACAAGCAAAATCCAAAATCCGAACTTAAAAATCGACGAAACCGCGAACCGTTGCAATTTCATGATCCGCCATTCCGTTAAAATTTTGCTCTAAATCCGAATTCTGGGCAAAATAATTCTCAGAATCCGCTGATCCGTTAGCCTATTCACCCCCCCTCCGTATGATTTCAGTGCTAAATAAAAGGGAACTCTTTTCCTACAATGTATCAATAGTTATGTTACAAAACTAACTAGTGTACGCTGTAAAAAATAAAAAATTGAGCGGCAATTAACTACCAAAGTGGGGGTATCATAATAATATTACAAAGCCTTATTGGGGATTTGGTAAATTTTATCGTTACGCAACCCAAATCTTCCACCTCCCCTCCTCCAGGGAATAACTAAAAGTATTAGTGCTGCACAACTAACTAACTTCTACTGGATGAAATAAAATACACACACACGATAATTTACATGTTTCTTATTTTATCATACCACTGATAACAGATGATTGCTGTCCATTTTCTCAGCTTTGGCGCACGAAACATGTGAATGAGAGTATACTTTTTGGCTGTCTTTTCTCGCTCGATCTGTTCTCTTCTTACCCCTTCCAACAGAGATCGTATCGCTTCTGAATCCAAAGGTTTCTCATCTTTGCTTCCAAAAGCCTCGATGATGGATTGAGCCTCGTCCAGTCGATCGTGAGCGATAAGCCATCGGGTGGATTCTGGAATAAGCCTATGGAATTGCAAATCAAATTTAGTTAGTCTGTTTGTAGAAGGATGGATGGATTTTGGTTAGACTCTCAGTCAGTAGAACAGTGTGTCATTCTGTATGTGTTACAGCCAGAAGGCCAGTCAGTCAGCCAGCAAGAGTCGGTCGGTCAGTCGGTCAGTCGGTCAGTCGGTCAGTCGGTCAGCCAGACAGTCAGTCAGCCAGACAGTCAGTCAGCCAGACAGTCAGTCAGCCAGTCAGTCAGCCAGAGAGTCAGTCAACCGTTCAATCGCTAAGACAGAAAGTCAGGGTTGGCCAGCTAGTCAGCCAGTAAGCCAGCCAAAAAGTTCGTGAGTCATGAGCCAGTGAGTCAGTGGGTCAGTCAGATAGCCTCTATCACTCAATGAATCAGTGAGCGAGTGAGTCAGTCGGCCACTGAGTAAGCCAGCCAATCAGCCAGTCAGTCATTCAGTCAGTCAATCAGAGTCAGTCCGCCAGCTAATCAGTCAGTCAGCCAGCCAGCCAGTCAGTCAGTCAGTCAGTCAGTCAGTCAATCAGTCAGTCAGTCAGTCAGTCAATCAGTCAGTCAGTCAGTCAGCCAATGCCTCAAAGAAGCTAGGAACAGAGACAGAAGAAACAGGAACACATTGTCATTGCGTACATACTTCCAAAATGGGAATAGCAAAGCAGCTGGAACACTACATATCAAACTCAGATTTCTCCAGTCGCGTTCAAAATAAGCGATGAGGACAAACAAAAGTTGAAATCCATTGTAATAAAAGTATGTTATGTTTCCAGCAGCTGTCCTAGTATTCGGGCCGACCAATTCCATTCCGTAAATATAGAGGGAGAGCATCACTCCAGTCAAGCCAAAACCAACCATAAAGCGAAGAACAGCGAATAAGGGAATGGAATAAACAAAAGCTGAGGCAAAGCCACTAATTAACTGAAAAATAACAAAAAAAAAATCATGGTAAACACATACAAGTGATTAATTTAGTTTAAGTTTGCCAGTCAAAACGTGAATTTCAAAATTTCTATCGCGTAGAATCTCGTGGACTCGATTTTCCCGTTAGATCATGATCATATAAAAGTAAAAATCAACACCGCCGATTCATAACGAAGCTGTGTTTACGACCATCTTACCATGATTGCGTTGCAGAGGAAGATACATTTCTTTCGGCCCCAGGCGTCTGAAATTATCCCGGTCACAAGTGAACCTACCAACATTCCAGTAAAGTAACAGGACTGTATCGTTGCACCCAAGAACGCGCGGTCACATATCAAGTTCCACTTAAACGTGAATAAAAGGAGGGGAAAGAAAATTATTATTTGATTGAAGTAAGTGTAGATCAACCTTCTGTCTGCCTGCTAGTTCCTCTCTAGCCTATCTGTTCGTCTGTCTGCTTGGGGACACAACTTAGTGTCAGATCGTCTTCCGAAGTCTGCCGAGTGTTACTTGATATTCCTCGCTCTTGGCCTTTGTGGCCGATTTAATTTCCGATTTTGGACACTAGTAGCCAATTTTCGATTTTGGACACTAGTGGCTGATTTTAGATTTTGGACATTAGTGGCCGATTTTGGATTTTGAACACTGGTGGCCAATTTTGGATTTTGGACATTAATGGCCGATTTTGGATTTTGAACACTGGTGGCCAATTTTGGATTTTGGACATTAGTGGCCGATTTTGGATTTTAAGCACTAGTGGCTGATTTTTACCTCAGACACGGTGCTCTGAAAAGGCCCCATAAACTCGTAAGCGTGACATCCGTCACAACATTTCCTTGCCTCACACGTGACATTTGGTGTGACGCATTGAAACTTAGGAGTACCAAAGCCAAACACTAGCAGAGAGAACTGGTTTGTTACTGGAAAAACAAACAATAAAGTACTGAAGTATAAGATTTTTTGGTATTTTCCAAAGGAGGACACATGTTCAAAAATGTCGTCAAACTCAAGTGATCGTGTCTTCTCTCCTGTTACGGTATTCTCGGCCATTGTTCTGAAATGAAACGAAATGAACGCGTTATTCTCAGAGGTCAAAGCGAAAATAGGAGGGCAGTGGTCTGGGTCAGTAAGTGGTGGAATACGTGTGGACCCTCGTTAAAAGACTATGTCACAGACCCTAGCGGTGAAAGTTATCCTCTGAGAAAACTATATCTCCGTAGTCTCCGTGGTCTCTTTCGCAACCGTTGTTTGGTCTCGTCACAAAACGCGCTCTCTTTGGTGGGGAAGGTACGAAATTGCGCAGATGGAACGAAAAGAGAATATCTGTCTTTTTTTCCTGAAATTTATGGAAACCCACTTATACGCTGCTCTAGCTACTAATCAGTCGGAGTTTTAAAAACCAAATTAATGAAGCGCTTTCATGTGCCACGGTATGGCGTCTTATTCGAGTCAAAAGGTATGATGAAACCCTTATCAGCTCTGATCTGTTTGTTCACGAGCCGCGCACAACCGCGAATGATAACGATTCCGCATCTGCTTTGATTTTCCGGTGAGACCAAATGCGCAGCAGCCAAGCACGGTCTCAAATAGACTAAATGCCCGGTAGTCAGAGATTTTCACAGAATTTCTATTGAAAGGTTCTTGTAAACTTCTTGAGATCATCAGATGTTTGTTTAAAAATATCAAGCAGCTTGTGCACCCTATAACATCGCTCGGTTGTCGACACTGAAACTCTACACCACTGATCAGACAGCCGAGCACGGTCTCGAATAGACTAAATACCCGGCAGCTAAAAATATTCAGCAAAATGTCATCGAAAGGTTCCGAAGCTTTTAAAGTTCTTTCTTTCATATAGTTCTTTCTTGAGCTCTTGAGCTCTTCTTTCTAGAGCTTCAGCGCTGCACTAGTATCGCAGAGGTCAGTGGTTCGAATCCCGTACAGGCCTGATTTTTTTCAGGTCTGATTTTCGCTATTGCATAAATAGCGCGTCACCCAAGCCGAAAATAGACTGGACACTGTAAGGTACTTGGAAGGGGAAGTCTGGTTT